AGTTCAGGCCCACGACCGGACCCAAAAAAACAGAAAACAAAAAAACCCCACAGGCCAGAGTGGAGGTGTGGTTCAGGTGGAGGAGCGCTAGCCTTGAGCTGCAAAGCCAGACAAGAGCACAAGTCCCTGAGTTCAAGTCCTAGTACATACACATACACAGCCCTAATACACACACATACACACACACAGCTCTAATACACACAGCCTTGTACACACATACACACAGCCCTAGCACACACACATACACACACACAGCCCTAGTACACACAGCTCTCATACACACAGCCCTAGCACACACACATACACATACACAGCCCTAGCACACACATACACATACACAGCCCTAGCACACACACACACATACACAGCCCTAGCACACACATATACAGCCCTAGCACACACACATACACAGCCCTAGCACACACACATACACATACACAGCCCTAGCACACACAGCTCTAATACACACAGCCCTTGTACACACATACACAGCCCTAGCACACACACACACACACACACAGCCCTAGTACACACAGCCTTGTACACACATACACACAGCCCTAGCACACACACATACACATACACAGCCCTAGTACACACATACACATACACAGCCCTAGCACACACACATACACAGATGCACATACGCACACACACGCACACGCACACGCACACACAAACCCCAGCAACTGAGGAGACACAAATGCCTAGATGACAGGAAAGCATTGTCCCGGCCAGAAGCCGGTGCAGGAGCCACGCTGGGGAAGCGCAGAGGCTTCCCGGCTTACCCGGCCCTGGCCTCCTGTCCACCCCAGGAGCAGCCTGCGTCCTCGGCGTGCACTGGACTGGCAGCCACAACTTCTTCCTCTACTCCCTGAACCGAGTGATGAAGGGTAAGGTCCTCCCTGGGCGCCTGGCGCGCTCGGCTCACACCAGGACACCACAGCTGTGCAGGCAGAAGTGGCTGAGGAGCCACCTCAAGGGGCAGCCCCTGGGCAGATCAGACGTAGGCCACGGGGACCCATGGCAGGGAAGCTGAGGGGGAGGGTGGCCTAGGTTCAGGGGTGGTGCTTCCTGGCCCGCATCAGAGCCGGTTAACTGCACGGCGCTGAGCTCTAAAGTGAGTTTCGTGTGACTAGCAAAATCCAGAAATAGAAACCTCCTAGGAAAGCCGGGCACCGGTGCTCACGCCTGTCATCCTAGCTACTCAGGAGGCTGAGATCCGAGGATCACAGTTCAAACCCAGCCTGGGCAGGAAAGTCCGTGGGACTCTGATCTCTAAACTACCAAGAGGCCACAAGGAGAGAGCTGCGGCTCAAGTAGTAGAGCACCAGCTTTGAGTGGAAGAGCTAAGTGACAGCGCCCAGGCCCTGAATTCAAGCCCCAGTGCAGACACTGACGCGACACCATGTTGGAAAGGCCCTTGGACCATCAGAGGGAGAGAGGTGGAGAGTGCGGTGCAGGGGGGGGTCTGCGGGGAGGGGGCAGACACTCCCCTCCTCCACCCCCAGACCCCGAGGGGGTGTGGCCCTGCGCAGCGCCCATCACCGTGTCCCAGCTCAGCCCCTCCTGCTCCTACCTGGTGCTGGCCTGTGAGGACGGCGTGCTCATAATCTGGGACATGTCTGAGGGTGAGCCACCCCTCCTGCCCCACCAAGACATACACCACACACGCACGCACACACGCACGCACACACACAGCCTGTCCCCATCCGCCACGTGGGTTTCCTCTCTCCAGGATTCCCCCTGGGGGTCGTGGCGCTGCCTGAGGAAAGTCTGTGCGAAAGCATTCACTTCCTGCGGTACTTCGTGGTCCACCAAGGGCAGAGCCTGTTCCCCGAGGGCACAGTGAAGTCATGCATGAAGTGCGTGGTGCTGTGCACCAACAGCTCCCTGCACCTGGTGACAGCGGACGGCGCGCAGTGTCCCAGCAGCACCGAGCTCCTGAGCAGGTCTGTGGACAGCGTTTCCTGGTCAAACGTGCCCCTTCCGGTGGCCTCACCGAGCACCAGGGCTCCCGGCCACGCGCAGGCTCCAGTGGGCAGAGCAAACCCATGGTGGCCTGCATCCACACGGTCAAAACGCACCTGCTATGCAGCCCAGGCTGGCCTTGAACTCACAAGCCGGCCTCAGCTGTCCAAGTGCGGGGATGGCAGGCGTGCAGCACGGCACTCGGCGCAGGCCGCTTCCACGTGGCTCTCAGGAAGCATCCCTGCTAGTGGAATGTGGGCGGTTCTAGGTTTTACCTCCTGCTGCACGCGGAGGTTTCCCAGGCAGAGGCCTAAGAGAGGAGACCGAAAGCGTGAAACCTTTTAAGTAGGAGCTGCCCGTGTGCTTTGTGTCCTGCAGGACTGAGGCGCACCCAGAAGAAGCAGTGTGTGCGGTGGCGCCCGTCCCAACCCTGCCTGGTATGGTAGGTTCCCGCCTTGCTTTTCTGTCCTGTGAGTACCGACACCTTTCCCTCCCCAAATACCTGTTGACAGCCTGCTATGTGCTGGACGGACTGGCTTTTGGGTGCAGAGAAGTACGTCTGGGGCTGTGGTGAGGCTCTGGCTGTGTCCTGCGGCGGAATGAGAGGATGGTTGGGGGGGGCAGGGAGGTCCCGGAGGAGCAGGGGGGGCAGTGGGGCACAGGGGCGAGGCTGGAACCTGCAGACCTCCCAGAAATCAAAGGGGCAAATGGGAAGCCATCCCGATTCACACAGCACCGTGATCACGAGGACTAGATAGCGGGGCGGGGGGGGGCCTGCACCTTGGCACCGCCTTCCCTGCTGTGGGGAGCAGAGGCCGGGCCCTCGAGCTGGGCCGTGGACAGCAGATGGTGACCTGAACGGCCACTCAGGCTACCCTGGGCTTTCGGCGGGGTGGGGGGGGGAAGGGGGTCCAGAGGCCCCACTGACCGCTGCTTCGCTCCCTAGGTGCTGCTGTTCACCAAGAACGGCTCTGTGAACCTCATGGACGTGGGCAAGGCCCAGGTCCTGTGTGCCTTCGTGCCCCCCGTGAGCCATGAGCTGCCTTTCCCCTGGGAGCCCATGTTTGCCGTGTCCTCACAACACCCCTATTTCCTGCTCCACGGTACGGGGGGCGGGGCACAGACTGTTCCCGGCACCTGGGGGCTCCCCCAGAACCCCAGCAACCACGGAGGCGGCAATGACGCAGAACCTCGCCTCCTCCAGGAGGCTACCCGCGCGGACACACCAAACCCACGGACGACAGCAAGGAAGTCCCCAACTCCATCTTCTGGTTTAACTTCGAGACCTATCCGCCCCTGCAAGACATATGCAAGAGCAATGCCATCTCGCAGAAGGACCTGGCCGACAGCAAGGCCATCCCGCAGACACAGCCTCTGGAGACGATCTGTGAGCACCTGCTCCAGAGCAGGTGAAGCCTGACCCCCCCCTACCCCCACCCAACCCCACCCCACCCCACCCCCCGCTCAGCCCTATGCACGCACAGCCCCTGAGATAACCCGACCCGAGGTGTGATCGGAGCCTCACAGACCTGGTTCAAAACCTGGCATGAGGGGCTGGGAAGGTGGCTCAGGGGTAGAGCGCTTGCCTCGCATGTGTGAGGCCCTGGGTTCAATTCCTCAGCACCACATAAGCAGAAAAAAGCCTGAAGTGGTGCTGTACTCAAGTGGTAGAGTGCTAGCCTTGAGCTGAAGAGCTGAGGGACAGCGCCCAGGCCCAGAGTTCAGGCCCCAGGACTGGAGCCCCCCCCCCAAAAAAAAATACCTGGCATGAGCGCCCGGCCTCGCAGAGCCTGCTTTCCTCCTGAGCAGGCTGTGTGCTGGATGTGTGTGTGTGCATATGTGTGCCAGTACTGGGCTTGAACTCAGGGCCTTGCCCTTGGTTGGCTTTTTCACTCACGGCTGGTGTTCTACCACTTGAGCCACACACACCCCACTTCCAGCTTTTTGCTGGGTAGTTGGAGATAAGAGTTTCCCTGATTTGTCTGCACGGACTGGCTTTGAACCTTGATCCTCAGACCTCTGTCTCCTGAGCTACTAGGCGTATAGGTGTGAGCCTCCAGCGTCTGGCCTGGACACTTTGCGCATGCCTGAATACTCGGGCTGTGGGTGTGAAATCACAGCACACAGGGAGCGCCGAGCACAGCGTGACTTCTCAAAACCTGGCAGGCAGGACCGTGCAACCGTGCGTGTCCCTGCCGGAAGTGCCGGGGACAGCAGCCCCTCCATGGCCCACCGAGGGCGGGGCTCCTGAGTCTGGAGGGAGGGACAGGGGACACTGCTTTGACCAGCAGCACACCACCGCTGCCCGGCTATTCCCTACGGAGAGGGTTCTGACCCTCGCCCCGCTCTCCGGATGCGGGCGCTGCCGTCAATGGCTCAGGAAAGTATCCGCAGACAGAGGCGGGAGGAGAGAGGGGAAACGCTAACAGCTGGAGGCTAGGGGAAGGCGCGTCGGACGGGGTGTGTACTTTGACAGGTGTGAAGCCTTTGCGCAGTGAAGGCTAGGGCCCAGCTGTCCAGTGCTGTCCACAGCCCAGTCCTGGGCCCAGGTCAGGGCAAGGCGGGCTCGTGGCGCAGTGGCGTGCAGACAGCCCGCGTGCGTGCGTGCCCACGTGCGTGCGTGCGTGTGTGCGGTCAGTCCACCCGCAGTCAGGTGAAATGGGCGGTGGGAAGCGGCCAGGCCGGGTCTGTAGGAGGGCCGGGGCCTGCGGCTCTGGGAAGCCGGGTTCAGGGTTCGGGAGTCTCCGTCCGTGAGTGACGGGCGAGGTGGCGCAGCACACGGTGCAGGGGTTGTGTGGCAGCGCCAGACCAGCCCCAGGACCTGGGGGCAGAGGGGCAGGGAGGGTCCCACAGCCCCGCAGCGAAAGGGGACACCCGCGGTCCCTGTGAACGCCTCCTCCTGACCGTGAGATATTCCGCGGGAAGGCCTTCCAGAACTTACTTCACCCCTCCGTGAGGTCGGCTCATGAGAAAAGCATCCTGTCTGCCTTGACCTCCTACCCCCCACCCCCCCCCCCCCCCCCGCCCCCCCCCCCCCCCCCCCCCCCCCCCCCCCCCCCCCCCCCCTGCCTCCCCTGCCTCCTCTGCCTCCCCTGCCTGCCTCCTCTGCCTGCCTCCCTGCCTCCCGTGGCCTCGGCGGGGAAGAGGCCAAGTCAGCACTGCTGAGCCATTTCTGGTTGGGAAAACACTTGGTTCTTGTTCTCCCCGCTCTGAGGCTTAACGTCTGGGACTCCCCCATAGCCACTACCCCACCCCCCTTCTCGGCCTGTCATTTCGCAAACACCCCGCTGCTGGTGGGAAGCCGTGTCATGCACAGGACCCGGGTCAGCAGCACGCATGTCCCACAAGCTTGCCTCTCCACGCTGAGCCCCCCGCGGCTTCCCGTCCCCTCCTCCACTGCGTCTAAAACTGGGTGAGCGGTGAAGCTGTGTGGCAACACGCTGTTTCCAACCTGCCGCCGTGTGCCAAACTGCTTCCCGCCGCCCCGCCCACGCCCACGCCGCCCACGCCCAGGATCCAAAGCGGCCGGCAGCGGCCGGCGGCCAGCTGCCTGCCTGGCACGGCCCAGCCCGCCTGCGCGGCTGCCCCCACCTCTGCCAGCCCCCGATGAGTTCCGAGGACCCGGGGAGACACAGGTTCTGAGTTTCCAGCCCAGCTCCCGCACCCAAATGTGCCCCACAGCCCCACACCCCCGAGAAATGGGACAAAGGAGCGAGGCCGACCGGAGCATGCCCCACGGGGACTCCAGGGTCCATTCCTGTGGGTTTGTTTTGTCTTTGTGTTTTGAGTCATAATGCAGCCCAGGCTGGCCTTGAACCTGCAGCTCACCTGTCTCTACCTCCTTAGTGAGGGGTCACGGCCGTGCACTGGCTGTTTCCTGAAAGATTCTGAGAAAATAAGTGTGCACACAGTATGTCGCACACTTTCATTGGCATCATTTGGTACGAGGGCTTGAACTTGGGTCTCATACTTGCTAGGTCGGTGTTCTGACTAAGCCCTGCCCCAGCCTTTTTGTTTTAGCATTTTTTAGAGTCTCTGGGATAGCGCCCAAGCCCTGAGTTCTAGCCCAGACTGTGACTCTGTGTGTGTGTGTGTGTGTGTGTGTGTGTGTGTGTGTAATACAAAAGAATATGTAAGAAGCTCTTGGAAACAGAAAATGAGCATCTGAGCTAAGAGGGACAGAGAGGCGAGAGCCTCAGAGCAAAGCCAGCGGTGCCAGCGTCGTCTTGCTCCTGAAACAAGTCCCTCTTGATCAACACGCACAGCGGCGCACGCCTGGCTCCCCCTGCAGCGGGCAGGGTGGGACTGTGGTCCAGGCCTGGTCCTAGACAAAAAGTGAAGTCCCATCTTAAAACGGCCAGCGCAGAAGAGGGCTGGAAACATGGCTCAGCATTAAAGCCCCTGCCTAGCGAGTGGGAGACTCCGCTCCAGATTCCAACCACCACCACCACCAAGTGGCCCTCTTGTTGTTGCTCTGATGTCACCTGAGCACCCAGGGCAGAAACGGGGGGGGAGGGAACAGCCTGTACCCCACAGCCCACTGCCAGATCCCCCCCACACCTGCTAGCAGCCCGGCTCTGCACACACGGGGACGGGCAGCTGCGTGGGCACTGATGTGAGACCCACTTGGCGCGTGGCCTTGCAACCTCCCCCGCCCCGCGGTGCAGGGGTGCAGCCTTGTCCTGGGGGGGAGGGACACCGCTCACCCCCCCCCCCATTGATGTGCTGCAGCTTCCAGATCCAGAAGAGCCAGGAGCAGTGGGGCCGGCTGCGGAGATTCTCCCTGCTGCTCCACAGAGAGAACCTGAAGAAGTGAAGGGTGACCCGCCTGGGCCTGGGTGGCCGCCCCGAGGGGACAAGGAAGACAGGAAGCCGCGGCAGGGGGGAGGGGGGGATGGACATGGCGCCCGACCTCTCGGCCTCCAGGACAGGCCACAGGCGCCCCCCGTGGCAGATGCCACCCAAATAAACGACAGTGCTGATCCAGACCGCAAGGCGCTCGTTCTCCTCCCCCCCTCCCTCCCCTGGGCCCAGGTCAGCACGCCTGAGACCCCCGAGACCCCCCACCTGCGTCCCCTCCGTCTCCACACACCACATCTGCACCCCACAGCCATGCAGGGGCTCTCAGCCCGGGGAGGGGGAAGAGAGGCGGCGGCAGGGCAGGGAGGAGAGGCCTGGGGCGCACAAGGGCACGGTGCCCGCCGCCACCGGGGAGGGGGAGGCTGTAAGGGACACGGAGGCCCTGGGCTCTGGAAACCGCACCCCGGACAGCGGCCAGCAGCCCCGACAGCCGCCTGACCTGGACAGCGGCCCAGTGCTCCCCGAGGACGCCGCCGCGTGGCCGCGTGGAGAACTGCAGGAAGGGCTCCATGGAGGGCTGCGGACAGGGCTCTGCCACGGCTGCCCCCCCCACCTCCCCTCTGTGCCACACGGGCTGCCAGCGGCCCTGGACAACCCCCCTCCCCCCTCCCCTCCTCCCTCCCCTGTTCTCCTCCAGCCGGCCCCCTTCCCAGTGGGGCCTGGGGCTCCCCAGAGTCCTGGGCCCCATGATCTTGAGCTGAGCCGGCACAGCAGGGGTTAAGCACCCAGACTCTGGAGTCATACCAGGGTGGCAGCACCAACGCGGGCCGCAGCAGCTTCCCAAACTTCCCGTCCTAAGCCGTCCTGTGGTGGGCACCAGCACAGGTCAGGGCGAGGGGCTGGCAGTCAGCGGCCCCTGGCCAGACTAGGAGAGGAGGGGCTTCCAGCAGGAGGGGACCCCTTCCACCCCCAATCCTGACTCTCCCGGCTATTAGCAGGGATGTGTTAATGAAAATTCACACCCTGATATTCATCCACTCTCTTCGGAGGCAGAAGAGGCCTGGCAGGGAGGGGCTGGCCACAGCCGCTATCTGTGAAGAGACTTGCTAATAACCTTAATTCCCCAGCCTAAGTCTCCGGGACTTTGCTGTGCAAACAGATTTTCTAAACTGGGTGGACTTCCCACTTCGGTCCTGGAGGCGCTTGCTTCAGTGGGGGCTGAGGCGTGGAAGTATCTCACACACGCACCGGCGGGGCTCGGGGCTGGACCTCTCTCTCTCCGCTGCCCAGCCCCTTCCAGCATGGGGCGGGCCCTGCTCATACACGTGGGCACCTTCCAGCCTCCGGTCAGGAAGTCCCTGAGGTAGTTTTAAAAATGAACCTAGAGCTGTGTGGCTAGTGGCTCACACCTGTCATTCTGGCTACTCAGGAAGCAGAGATCTCCTGGATCTCAGTTCAAAGCCAGCCTGGGCAGGACAGTCTGTGTGAGACTCTTATCTCTAATTAACCATCAAATAACTGGAAGTGGAGCTGTGGCTCAAGTGATAGTGTGTGCCTTTCGAGAGCAAAACAAAAGCCAAGCAAGAGTGCAAGGCCCTGAATTCAAGCCCCAGTACTGGCTAGCACGCATAGATATAGATAGATGATAGATACAGATAGATGATAGATGATATAGATAGATGATAGATACAGATAGATGATAGATGACAGATACAGATAGATGATAGATGATTGATATAGACAGATGATAGATATAGATAGATGATAAATGATATAGATAGATGATAATGAAGCTGATAGCTACAGATAGATGATATAGACGATAGATGATAGATATAGATAGATGATATAGGTGATAGATGATATAGATGATAACTATAGATAGATAATATAGGTTAATAGATGATAGATGATATAGATTGATAGATGATAGATTGATTGATTGATAGATACAGAGCGGGGCGGGAGGGGAAGGGGCTGTTCTCTGTGGTAGTGAATGTTAGGCGCTTTGGCACCGGGTTCCTTGGGCTCCGTTGCCCCCACCCTCTCTGGCCTTGTCCTCTGTCATGCTGCACGCAGCCATGCCAGGGCAGCGCCCCTCCCCTGGGGTGGGGATGAGGGTCCTGAGGACCACCCCACCTGGCCCGGAGCCGGCAGCACTGTCCGCCCTCTCCACCTGGAATGGCGGCCGCCTGCCTGCGGCTCAGACCCCAGGAAATGGGCCTTTCCAGTGATGCTGGGGTGGGGGGGAGTGGGTTCAGGTAATTCTGAGTCAGGGAGGGAGGGAGCACACACTCCCATCCCACATAGCCAGCCTGTGGGAGGAGGGTGGGAGGGAGGGCTCTCCTCCGACCCCATTCCCAGGATCCAGAGCCCTGGAGGCTGACGAGGCCTGAGGCCTCTGTGGAGCTCCCTCTCCCTCTCCCCCTCTTTGATCTCACCCCTCAGGCCCCTCCAGTGGCTCGCGGGGAGCAGGGAGGCCTGAGTTAATGACTTCTGCAGGCCTCAGGCCCCACCAGCTGGGCCTTGGTCTTCACACCTTGGGCCTGTGTTTTGACAAGTGCCAGAGCCCAGGGCTCCTGCCCCCCTCCTCCCCCCTCCTTCCCCCCCCACTGAGCCCGCCCTCCTGGCTGGGAAATGAGGCCTCTGGCAGCCCCACCAGGGCAGGGGTGAGAGTTCAGGCCTTGGCCTGGGGGACGGGGGCTCTGACCTGCTCCTAGGCCCAGGAGGCTTCCTGGCCTCCTCTGGCCAAGCTGTGCCCTGGGCACTGCACCCCCTCTGTGCCCCATATTTCATTTCCCTTCTGACACAGGGGTGCTAGTCAGAGTTGCTATGGAAACGCTCCCCTGCCTGCCCGGAGCCCCAGCCCCTGTCAGCCAGCTTAGCATCAGGACACCCCAAATTTGGGTGTCCCAACTGCCAGGGCCGATCTGGCACAACTCCACACCAGCCCTCCAGCGTGTCAGCACCCCGCCCCGCCCCGCCCCGCCCCGCCGTGCCATTCCTCCAGCCCACCCACCTCTGCCTCGGTGCTGGGGGGTGTAGGTGCACTTGGATCCGTGGGCTCACACGCCGGGCCGGGCAGGTGGGCGCCCGCCACGGTGCCCTCACCCCACTCAGCAGACGAGAGCCCCCACCCCACCCTGTGTCCTGCCTCCTTCCACCTCTCGTCGCCTTTGGAGACAGAGCCAGTGGCCCCTGAGTGAGGGCCCAACACAGACAGGCCTTGCTTCACATCGGAGATGGGGTCCCAGCCCTACTCCGGGCCGGATGGGTCAGAATCCTGGGGCGATGAGGCTGGGGAGCAGGCCCTGTGGGGGTTAGAAGCCCTGCCCCCTCCCCTGCAGACCCTCCAGCCCCAGCCCGCCACTGTGGCCGGATCTTGGCACACCCCGAGGCCCAGCACGGAGGCCCCCACCCACCCGGAGCCCCACCTCTGTCCTCACACCTTCAGCCCGGGGAGCCACCGAGCTGGCAGGCCATATGGAATAGATTATTCGAGACCCGATAATCTGATTATCTGGCAGGGGGGCAGGTGGGGGCGCAGCCAGAAGAGCAGGGTGGTGATGAGGAGGGAGGGGGCGGGAAGGGAGGAGGGAGATCTGTAGGCTCCAGGAGAGGCTGCAGAGGAAGCGTGGCCGGGCCTGGAGATGACTGTTAATGCCAACGCTCCTTAGGTGGGAACTTTGGCTTCTGGCCTCGCCTGGGTACGTGGGGATGGGTCTGAGCCTCAGAGTGAACAGTGGAGACACTGAGGCACACGGCGGTGATGGAGCTGAACTAGCTCAAAGCGAAGACGCAGAGCCGTGCCAGTGTGGGAAGTCCGTCACACGGGCCTCAGCTTCAATGCCTGGGCAGGAAGGCGTCCTCGGAGGCTGCCAGCCTCACAGTTGGCCGAGTTGGCCCCGACATTCTCGGGTGCTGCCAGCAGAGGGCGCAGCCCAGCCGGTCCCGAGCTGTGACACTGACCGGTCCAGTCACCAGTGAGGATCTGCCAGGCTTGGCCTGGCATCGGGGGATGCCCCGACTGGATAAGGGTGAGGCGTGGCTCAGTGCCCATGTGAAAGGCTGTGTCTGCCCCTCCGCACACCAGGAAAAATACCCGCATACATGCACACACGTGCACACACGTACACACACAGCACGGGCCGTGCAGACTTGGGCCCACACACCTCCCCTCGCCCAGCCTCTGCATGGGGAAAGCCACCCTTCCAGGTCCTGCCTTCCCCAGGGAAGAGTCCTGGCTGCCCTGCACCCCAGGTCACCCCGACCTGTCCTGCTCCCCAGCAGGCCCCCGGGTGCCCGAAGGCTCGGCTGTTCCCCCAGTGCGCGGGGTGACCTGCCGGGGGCTCGTCACCAAGCCGTCCAGTAGCACACGGCTGCGCCCGGGGCCAGGGGAGCGCACTTGGGGCTGAGTGAATGAGCTATTGAGAACCAACCGCACACGCGCACGCGCATACATGCACGCACCCCCTGGCCCAGCAGCGGAGGCCTGCCCCTCCCCGCACCCCGCCGTGGGCGCTGGGGGCTGGGCGGCTGTTTTGGAGGGCCCCGCACACCCTGCTTCCCACGTCGACACCTCGTCCCTGAGGGAGGCGGCTCTGGTCAACAGGCAGCGGGAAGGTGTGAAGCTGGCCACTGCCCGGCACAGGTCCTGGCCGCCGGCTGGTAATGAGAATTCCACCCGGTGCGGCCCTGCCCCCCCCCACCTTCCCACAGCTGAGGCCGCAGTGGGGCCGAGAGGGGAAGAAGGGAGGGAGGCCCGTGACCAGAGGCCAGGCCTCATCACCACCACGGGGCCACAGGCATCCCGGGGGCGTGGGCTGGGCCTCCAGCAGGGAGGCCGGGGCTGAGGCTCACGGCCGGCCGGGGTGGCGAGTGGGAACCGGGAAATCGGGACCAAGTGCAGCACCGCGCCACATGGGCACGAGCCGCGGCTCTGCCACCGGGGCACAGCGGGCACAGGGCTCTGTCCCCGCCGGGTGGTGAACCCCGCCTGGCACGAGTGGGTGGCGCGGCCCACGCCCTCGCTCCGGGCCAGCACCGCT